AATTGCTTTACAATGGTGTGTTAGTTTCTGCTTTATAACAGAGTGCATCAGTTATACATATACATATGTTCCCATATCTCTTCCCTCTTTGTCTCCCTCCCTCCCACCCTCCCTGTCCCACCCCTCCAGACAGCCACAAAGAACCGTGTTCTGATTTTTAATGAGTGGCATTTTGCAAATTATTGGCTTAGAAGCACATTTTATACTGATATAAAACTCAAACATAGCTTGAGCTATTATTCTCTAATTGTGATTATTTAAAACAAATACCTGCTCCATTGATTTTAGTTTTTTTCCCAGTTGATTTTCTCAGTTCTGAAGTCATATTTCAATATGGTAGTTCCATTTTTAGCTATTTAAGGAACCTCCGTACTGTTCTCCATAGTGGCTGTATCAATTCACATTCCCACCAACAGTATAGGAGGGTTCGCTTTTCTCCACACCCTCTCCAGCATTGATTGTTTGTAGATTTTTTGATGATGACCATTCTGACCAGTGTGAGGTGATAGATACCTCATCGTGGTTTTGATTTGCATTGCTCTAATGATCCCTGATGTTGATCTTTTCATGTGCCTGTTGGCCATCTGTATGTCTTCTTTGGAGAAATGTCTGCTTAGGTCTTCTGCCCATTTTTGGATTGGGTTGTTTGTTTTTTTAATATTGAGCTGTATGAGCTGTTTGTATATTTTGGAGCTTAATCCTTTGTCAGTGGCTTCGTTTGCAAATATTTTCTCCCATTCTGGAGGTTGTCTTTTCGTCTTTTTTATGGTTTCCTTTGCTGTGACAACTGTGGATCTTTATTATAACACTGCTTTATAAACTTAGGACCCTTACAACAGTATATTCTCTTTTTCCCTTCCCAGCCTTTGGGCTATTGTTGTCCTACTTTCTTACTTCTACATATGATAAAAAACCTCATGATATGTTATTGTCATTTTTGCTGTAATAAGCAAATATTTTATGAATAAATCTTAAAATGAGAAAAATGACTTATATTTTGCCACATGTTTGCCACTACTGGTGCTCTTCATCCTTTGTATAGATCCAAGTTTCTATGTGTTATTATTTTCCTTCTGCCTGAAGAACCTCTGTTAGCATTTCTTGTAGTGAAGGGCTGCTGGTAGTGGATTCTCTCAACTTTTCTTTGTTTAAAAAATTCATTATTTTACCCTCATTTCTGAAAAATATTTTACTGGGTATAGAAATGCAAGTTAACAGTTTCTTTCGGCACTTTAAAGAGGTCACTCAGTTGTTTTCTTGCTTGAATAGTTTCTGAGGTGATGCCTCGGAGACAGTGTCTGCTGTAATCTTATCTTTTTTTCTCTGTACATAATATGTCTTTTTTTCCCATCACTGGCTGCTTTTCACATTTCTTTATCACTGGTTTTCAGCATTTTAATAATGTTTTGCCATGGTTTGGTTTTCTTAATTTATTCTTCTTGGATTACGTTGACAATTTTTTTGGCCATTTTTCCTTCAAATTTTTTTTGTTACCCCTCCTTTTCTTCCCTTTAATTATATATGTTTTAGACTGCTTGATATTACCCTATAGGCTCCACTTGGTTTTTTGTTTGTTTGTTTTTTAGGCTTTTTTAAAAATCTGTGTGCTTCATTTTGGATGCTGTCTTAGTCCATTTGGACTGCTATAACAAAATCCTGTAGACTGGGTGGCTTATATACAACAGAAATTTATTTCTCATCATTCTGGAGGCTAAGAAATCCAAGATCAAGGCACTGGCAGATTCACTGTTTTGTGGGGGCCTGCTTCCTGGTTCATAGCTGGCACCTTCTTGCTGTAACTTTATGTCGTGGAAGGAACAAGGGATCTCTCTGGGGTCTCTTTATAAGGGCCCTAATCCTATTTATGAGGGCTCTGCCTCCGAAAGGGACTCCATCCAATACTATCACCTTGGGGATTAGGATTTCAACATATGAATTTGGGGGGACACAAATATTTAGTCTATAGCAGATGGTTTCTCTTGCTATGTTTTTGGGTTTGCTGATATTTTTTTTTCCTGTAGTGTTTCTCTGCTGTTAATCTCATTTAGTAAAATTTTATTTCAGTTATTTTATTTTTTATCTTTAGAGGTTCTATATGGTTCTGCTTAATGCCTTCTATAACCTTCCTCATCATGTTTATGTTTTCCTTTAGCATATTTTTAATATTTATATTAAATAATGAACGTAATATCTGTAATAGTTGTTTTAAAACCCTTATCTGCTAATTATATCACCTCTGTCATTTGGATCTGTCATTTTCCTGCATTTTTACATGTCTAGTAATTTTTGATTAGATGGTCAACATTGTGATTTTATGTTGTTGAGTTCTGGATTTTTTCTATTCCTGTAAAGAGTGTTGGACTTTCTACTGAAGGCAGTTAAATTACTTGTGAATCAGTTTGATCCTTTGAAGGCTCTTTTTTTCTTTGGCGGTACGCAGGCCTCTCACTGTTGTGGCCTCTTCCGTTGTGGAGCACAGGCTCCGGACGCTCAGGTTCCGCGGCCATGGCTCACAAGCCCAGCCGCTCCGTGGCATGTGGGATCTTCCCGGACCGGGGCACGAACCTGTGTCCCCTGCATCGGCAGGTGGACTCTCAACCACTGCGCCACCAGGGAAGCCCTGAAGGCTCATTTTTAATCTATTTTAGAGCAGGTCTAAATAGCCTTAACTCGAGTGTTAATTTAGCTGCATTAGCAAGCCATTACCCTTCTGAAGCCTCTACTGAAAGTCTCAAGTAACTCATACACACTCTACACTCTGGATGGTAAACACTTGAACACTTACCAGTTCTGTGTAATCTTTAGGAATAGTTCAGCTTACAGCTCTCTGGTAATTGTCCTTTCCCTTGAAATTGTTTTTTGCCTGGCTCAGTGGGGTTTCACTCTATGCATGTGCAGATTGGTATTCAATTAAAGGTGCAAGGAGAGGGACTTCCCTGGTGGTCCAGTGGCTAAGACTCCGCATTTCCAATGCAGGGGGCCCAGATTCAATCCCTGGTCAGGGAACTAGATCCCACATGCGTGCCACAACTAAGAGTTTGCATGTCGCAACTAAAGAGTCCATAGGCCGCAACTAAAAGGACACCACATGCTGCAACTGATGATCCTACAACTAAAGATCCTGCATGCCATAACCAAGATCCCGCGTGCTGCAACTAAGACCTGGCACAGCCGAAATAAATAAATAAATAAAAATTTTTTTAATTAAAAATTTTTTTAATTAAAAAAAAAAGACTCAAGAATAGCCCTATGTGTATTTCTGGAACTCTTTCTCTGCATAACTCCCTCATCTTCAGTAGTAAGTGGGCACAAATTCTGGGTGCTTCAGTTTCTCTGAACTCTGTTCAACTCAGTGAGATTACCAGGCTCTGTTTGGTTTTCCCTTCCCTGTGCCATAGTCCAGAAATTGCCACCTACTGGAAACCTGGGGAGATCACAGTACTTTCCTCTTTGTTTCCCTTTTATCAGGGATTAAGGGTGGCAGTGCTATAATAATTTGCTCTTTGAGAAAGTGTCAGGAAAAATAAACTGAGATATTTGCAAATTTAATTTCCTGTAACAGTTTACCATTATTTGTATCATTTCTCCCAAGTTGCAAACAAAATTTAATACAGGTGTTTACCTGTTTATAAAATAGGGGAAATTGATGGGAAAACAATTTTGGAAACTTCAAAGTCTGTATAAAAGCCTTATTATATTTTACTCTCATTACAAAAGTTTATCATTGTATTTATATACTCATTGCCATTTTAAAGTCTCAGAAGGAAAGGGGGATTTATATTGTTGTTTTCCTTTAGTGGCCTTCTTTAAGAACAGTGATAAGCAATAAAACTAGTGAAGAGTGGATGAAGTAAAGAAAGATTATGGTGCATTTTGTCAAAGTAGTTAAGTTTATATGCAACAAGTTTATGTTTATAAGTTTATATGGAAGCGTAGGCCCATGTAGCCCAAAGCTTGGGTCTTTGATGCAAAATGGTGAAAGTTCAGAAGGAGAAAGGAGTCAAAGAAATTACTTTTTTGTTACTTTAAAAATAAGTGAACGGGCTTCCCTGGTGGTGCAGTAGTTGAGAGTCCGCCTGCCGATGCAGGGGACACGGGTTCGTGCCCCGGTCCGGGAAGATCCCACATGCCGCAGAGCGGCTGGGCCCGTGAGCCATGGCCGCTGAGCCTGCGCATCCGGAGCCTGTGCTCTGCAACAGGAGAGGCCACAGCAGTGAGAGGCCCGCGTACCGCAAAAAATTAAAAAAAATAAAAAAGATAAAAAATAAGTGAACATTTGAAAAAAAATAAAAACATTAAGACCTCAGACAGAAATAGAAATGTAAGAAGCAGAAGAATTCCAGGTCAGAAGAAAGGAGGTAAAGCCTGCACATACATTAGCATCTCTGCTTTCCATGTTGAATAAAAGAGATGAGGTGGTTACAAACTTGCCACAACTCTTTGTATATTTTATATCTCAAAGCCCATTTTCAAATGTTTATCACTCTACATTGGAGTACAAAATGTTAACTAGATGCCAAGGAAGAGCTTTTTCTTGGGCTTTCCTTAAAGATTAGATAAAACCCAGACATTGGCACACTAGTTAATTTTATACAAATAAAAGGTTCAGGCACAGTTAAGCATAATTTGAATTCTTAAATAGTTTTTTTCAGAAATTTATAATGATGCTTTTACCTCTATCATACCCTTTAAAAATATATGGTAAAGAGTAAATTTCAGATCAGAAGTAGAATACAAATTCTGAATTAAAGTTGATACTTTACACTGGTTGTCAGTAATATCCGTAAAGGTAGTATTTCTACTCAGCCACATACATTATAGAGGCAATTACTCATAGTTTATTTTAGTTTGTGATTTATCAAGTGTTATTAAATTTTTTTTGTGATGAGGTAGACTTGGTTTTTGTTGATTGAAAAAGCCCTAATATTTTTGTCTTGGGAAAGACAGAAACAATGTTCATTTACATTTATACTTTTAATTTTAGAAACAAAAACCAGGAAATGCCTCGTTCCACAAACAAAGAAATGATACTTGGCATCATGGTGGGAACTACTGGAATCAGCTTGCTGCTTCTGTGGTACCACAAGGTTCGTAAACCAAGGACAGCAATGGATTTACCTAAATTTCTTTCTCTGGGTAATTCACTTGATTTGATGCCTTCGCAAGATGAAATGCCTAATGGCCAAGGAACAACAGCGATCTTTCAAGGAAGGCAACTTCAGATATTGGAGAAGTTAAATGAATTACTGACAAATATGGAAGAACTCAAAGAGGAAATCAGAGTTCTTAAAGGAACCATTCCAAAGCTGGAGGAATATATCCAAGGCGAACTTGGAGGGAAGACAACTGTTCACAAGATAAGTCCTCAGCACAGAGCTAGAAAAAGAAGGCTTGTCACAGTTCAAAGTTCAGCAACAAGTAATAGTTCAGAGGAAGCGGAAAGTGAAGGAGGGTAAGATTCTTTAAGATGTTTCCCATGTTGAATTGATTATTTATTGCATTATTGCTATTACTTAGGTACTTTCATTATACATTCCCAGTCATATATTCTGTTACTAAGAAGGCATAAAAAAGGAGTGACCCTATTCCATAGAGGTCAGTATTTTAGTTTAGACCTCAATGACAAAAAGAATGTAACTTACTCTAGTGCTAGGTGGCATCACATGAGTACTGAGGAAGACAGTGATTGTTTGCCAAAATGTGTAACCTGTTTTTATATGTGGCCACTGTGTGACCCCTTACATAAGGACTGTCCAAAAAGTACTGTCTAATAAAACTTTCTGTGATGATGGAAATGGTCTAAATCTGTGCTGCCCAATATGGTAGCCAGTAGCCACATTTGGCTATTAAGCACTTGCAATGTAGCTAGTGAAACTGAGGAACTGAATTTTTAATCTCCTTTCATTGTAATTAATTTAAAATTAGCCACATGGGACTAATGGCTACTGAATTGGGCAGTGCAGACCTAAAAAGATTTGAGAATGTACAAGTGACTCAGTTCCATCCTTGCATGGGTAATTCATTGAATTCTACACTCAAGAACATAAATAATGTTCTTTTAGGGGAAAAACAAATGATTTATGAAAAAAGAAATTGTGCCTGACTAGTGTTTCTAAGGAGTAAAATAGGCAAGTAAATAAAGATGCACCAGTGAATGTAGCATACCCTGAAATTCTTTAAGGCAGGGACCCTATGTTTTCGTCATTGTATTCCTAACACCTATTATTGTGCCTACCACTGAGTAGATGCCAGTAACTATTTCTTGAATTAATGAATATCTGCTAAATAACTATAGAATCGGAAGAAGGAGAGGGGATCTGGAAAGAGGAAACAAAGGGTAGGAATTTAAGGGTGATTTCATAGATAAAGAAGTGTAAGTGGTTGATGAGGTCTTTGAGATCAATGCTAGGGCTGGAATTACTTAGCATCTTTATATAGAACTGGAGAAATAACTTACGAAAAATCAGAGAGAGAAGAGCCACAAATGCTAGATCTAGATAACAAGAAGGTCTTAAAAATTTGTGTTCCTGAACAACAGGAAAAGTTGTAGACTGGTTTTAAAATAGGCAATGAAATGGTTTTTGTTTGTTTGTTTTAATTTTTATTTATTTATTTTTGGCTGCGTTTGGTCTTCGTTGCTGGACGCAGGCTTTCTCTAGTTGTGGTGAGCGGGGGCTGCTCTTCGTTGCGGTGCGTGGGCTTCTTATTGCGGTGGCTTCTCTTGTTGTGGAGCATGGGCTCTAGGTGCATGGGCTTCAGTAGTTGTGTCACGCGGGCTCAATAGTTGTGGCTCGCAGGTTCTAGAGCGTAGGCTCAGTAGTCGTGGCGCGTGGGCTTAGTTGCTCTATGGCATGTGGAATCTTCCTGGACTAGGGCTCGAACCCATGTCCCCTGCATTGGCAGGCAAATTCTTAACCCCTGCACCACCAGGGAAGTCCGGGCAATGAAATGTTTAAAAGGAATCTAAAATAGTTCTAAATAATTTAGAACTGTAACTCAGAAAAGACACTTGTTAATTATTATGGGTATAGAGAACAGCAGCTTAGGACTCTGATAATGATAAAAATCCAACCATAACATTGCGCATCATTGAGAGTTACTGAAGACAAACCAATGGTTATCTTACCTTATGTAGATCTGTGATGTTTCCTCACCAGGAGTCCTATGTGCAGTTTTGGCAATCACATCTTAGAAGGGACATAGTGGAACTAAAGACTAGCCAGAGAAGATCTGCTAGACTGAGGGAAGAGATGGCAGCCCTGATGAAGGAGTTTAGGCCAAAAGGATCAATGGCCCTTAATCTTAAAAGACCCTGGTTAAGCTGAGCACAGGCTTGCTCAAGAAATTCTAGTATTCTAGAAAGACAGGCAACCTTTGATAAGATTAGGATAAGTTTAGGACAAATGAAAAGAAGAAATTATGGGACTTAATTAATTTCAAGTAATGGTGTAGACATAAATTTTTTATGTGGGTTCAAGAGGGATTTGTGAAATCTATGAATAGTAGTCACATACCGCTAATGACAACTAGACATATCAAAACTTTAAGGTTGATGTCAAGTAAGACATCCCCTTCTCTTGCTTGATCCTGGGTGCCTTTGTTAGCAAGAGTACGAGAGTAGATGTACTAGAGCCCTAATAATGGACTAGACAATAATGGACAATGAATGGCATTGAGAGCAGAGGGAGAGTTGAATGGAAAAAGATGTGCTACATATATACAATGGAATATTGCTCAGCCATTCAAAAGAATGATACCATTTGCAGCAACATGGATGGACCTGGAGATTATCATAGTAAGCAAAGTAAGTCAGGAAGAGAAAGACAAATATCATATGATATCGGTTACATGCAGAATTTTAAAAAAAATTATATGAACGAACTTATTTACAAAACAGAAACAGACTCGCAGACTTAGAGAACAAATTTATGGTTACCAGGGGGTAAGGGTGGGGGGAGGGATGGATTGGGCGTTTGGGACTGACATGTACACACTGCTCTATTTTAAATAGGTAACCAACAAGGGCCTACTGTATAGCACAGGGAACTCTGCTCAATACTCTGTAATAGCCTAAATGGGAAAAGAATTTGGAAAAGAATAGATACATGTTTATGTATAACTGAATCACTCTGCTGTACACCTGAAACTAACACAACATTGTTAATCAACTATAATCCAAAATAAGATAAAAATTTAAAAATAAATAAAGTAGAGGGAGAGAAACTGTTTCCTCCTTAGCTCTACTTTAGAAAAATAAACAAAAGCAAAGAAACGAAAACAATTTGTTTCTTTTTCTGTTTTGAAAGGAATAAGATACAGAAAGATCTAACACATCTTTCTAAATAAACACCTAGAAACAAACTTTTTAAATAAGTAAAAAATTTTTTTTGAAAGTAAGGTTTTATAAAATATATTTGTTTCAATTTTAGATTGCATGTCCTCTTATAACCTGCTTGGGACAGAAACAACTGGTCATGGTGAGATACAGTCATAATCTCATTACCACATTTAAGATGGGTTGTAGCCTTGATACATAGTGTCCTTGATAGCAAAATTAAAAACAGCAAATGACAATTACATGTTCCATATGTAAATTTTATGCTTTGCAAGAGGCACCTAGAAATTTTGACTTCTTTTAGTAAAATAGATGTCAATCACAATTGGATGATATTATTAGTTTTACACAAGAAAAGAAAAACATCTAATTATATTCTTCGTTGTTGATTAAAACTTGAGTGGGTAGATCAGTAGAATGCATTTTCTGTAAACATTATTAGAATCTTCTGCATGCCTCTCTTTGTATCATCATGGACTTACGGATTTATGCCTTATTTGGTCTCAGCTAATTTCATTTAATTAGTTGTGGAGGTGATGATGACTAAAGGCTCAAAATCTCATGACCCTGGCAGGCTCATCAGTGGGCCTGCCAAGGTTCTTTTCCTTTCTTAGAACTAGCGTGAACATCTTGGAAGGCATCTTTGCTTCTTGGTTATATTGTTTCGACTAAATTTGGTTTTGGCCCCTGCTCCAAGACTTGGAATCAGCTATCCTGGCAGCATTGGTTCATTTCTGTGAGAAATAGTACTAGATACCAAAATCGGGGGTATAGAGTAGTACTGTTTTTAGGCAGGATGATACCAGAGGCTGTTTTGGCCCCTTTAGGGACAGGGTAAAGAAAAATCATTAAAAAAAAATTATATATATATATATATATATATAT